CAGGGGGCGACTCTCGCACCTCCAGAGCCACAACATTCAACATAACAGCAGGCAGACAGAAACACTCAGAACTAATATTATATCATACACCAGCGCGACAAGCGCGTGCATCTGTTGACGCCCGTGCACCACAGCAGCCGCCAGCCGCGCGCGACTGTACGCGCGGAGCTCGCGATGATGGCGGACTGTGTCGGCTTCCAGGCGCAGATCGCCTCTATCATAGAGATCCTGGCCAACTCAGCAGTGGTGGAGATCTGCAAATTGGTGGACGATGGCTACGCGGCGCTGCGGTCACAGATGTACCAGGAGCGCGAGAGGAGCGAGAAGGAGAACGACGCGCTGCGGCGGAAACTGCAGGAGATAGACGTGAAGATGAGGAGCTATGAGAGGAAGATGAGGAGACGGAGTCAGAGGGAGGAGATTCACGCCGTTCATTTTAGGCCACCCGAAGGTAAATAGATGGAGAAGGCTAGCCTCTGCATGTGAAGTCATGAGAGACCTGTCACACAGAAACATGCCTATCATCAGCTGATGCGTTCACACACTCCTGCACTACTGTGGACCTCAGCATCATGCAGACTCATATCATACCACACCTGAATGCACCATGTGCAGGCTGATCTCCATGACAGTTATACTACAGTCATGGATATAGTGTTAGTGTCATTTGGAGAACTCTTTAAGACTGCTCCTTCCTCTCTGTTCAAAGTGTCCAGTTGGCTCTCCTGGAGTACCTATCCTCAGTTTGTCTCGGGTAATAGGAGTAAACAGTAATTGGCAGTGGCACAAACTAAAACAGTGAATTTCATAGCTTAAAGCTGGATTTTAATAAGGTTTAGGACAGAGGTTCAAAATCTGGCAACTAAGCAGGACACACCTTCAAGGATAGGTTTACATATTTTTGTAATACAGCAATCACATGCTCAGATGTTTGTGCATCAACATAAGAAGTAAAAAGCTTTGCAGCAATGAGCAGTTATGGTGCACTCCTGCTTGAAACTGATGCTTGGTTGTATGTTAGTATGAAATCTTTATAATATTACTGAATCACTACATCTTCCTAACCACAGATTGCAAATCAGATTGTAATTACAGGAGCATACACTATATCACATTTATACTAAATTATGACAAAGAAAACAATTCCAGTAGGCAGGAAACATGCCAACAACACACGCTCCATGTTCTGCTGTTGTTCTCAGGAGCTGAGGACCATCATCCTGTGGTGCTGCCTCTTCCTGCGTCATCTGAAGACAAACCCTTCCATCACATTTCAAAGGTAAGGATTCATAAGCAGAAGGTTCCTGGTCTTGTGAGAAATTCAAGGTCTAAGAAAATGGTAAATGAACCTCATAAAATGCTAACATGTCTATATGATGTTCCAACTACTTTTCATTGTGTACCAGCAGGAGGAGACCAAGGTGTTGCCCCTGGTGAAGCAGGAGGAAGTGGAAGGAGACGACTGCAACCTGGACCTCAAGGTGGAGGTCAACATCAGGGCGGAGGGTGAGTGTGGCTCTGCACATGATTCAATCACCTTCCATTGTTCTGAATGTTTCAATGTTTTTCTGTATTAAACAACGCAGAACAGTGGCGATTCTAGAGTCTGTGGGGGCCCTAGGCAAAGATTCACTGGGGGCCCCTCGAACCAGCTTTCATCACCATCAGTGGCGCCCCGACACACTCTTCCCCCTTCCCAGAGCGGAGCAAGGCAACGAAACTTTAAATAAGAAGCAGCATTTTACGGTGCACTATGCATGGGGCCGCCTTGAGGGGGTTTCCCGACATATCGTTGCAGTAAATTAAAGGGTGTTTCATGTTGTCGTTGCTGTGGACCTTCTTAATCTACCGTCTTTGGGGGCCCCGGACCCATGACACAGAATATGAATATTTCCTCTAACCTGAACAGTACGCACACACACAAGGGATGTTGCCACAACTGATGAACTTCCCCCACACAGACTGGAGCAGCATTTTAACACTTCCAGTTCCCTCTTCTCAAAGTGAACATACACGTGAATGTGTTTTTGGTTAGATGCCTGAAATAAAGCTGAAGAGATTTTCACACATCAAATATCACAGTAAACACTCCCCTAGTGAATATCCAATGCTTCTATGTGCCTTAATCTGTTCAATTTGGCCATGGTTTATGAATCGTTGTTTGTGTCTACATGGAGGTTACCCCTACTCTTCCACCAACCAATGCGTTTGTTTCAATTGTGAAAAGAGCATGAAGTTAGACATACGTATTTCTGCTTCAAAGTGCACCAGGGTAATGCATTTAATGTTAAAATTAAATTAAAAAAAGTTTGGGTCATGCTCTCGATGAAGACCTGTTCTTTTTTAGAAGTACCTTAAAAACGCCGGAAGACTTGGCTTCTCTCTTCAAAGTCTCCAACCCAACTCGACAGCTTGGATAGTTGTCATGTTCACAGAGAGGGAATGTAAAACAGCGCCCTGCCTGTCAACAGCTGCTGCAAAGCGGGAGCTATGTTTGCGTGTCTATTTTCTATTCAAAGTTTACTAATACTAAACGTGTCACATTGCACCACTTGGGTCCCCAGAAATACTCCCAAGTGTGAACAGACCAACTGTTCTCGAGATTAATCATGTTCTCTTGTTCTCATTGAATACATTTCTTTAGTGCGCTATTTTTCAAAACATCCTTAACAACATTTTTGTTTTTTTAAGTGTTTGGGCATAAATTACGCTTATCAATAAACAACTTTTATGAATGAACTCCAGGTTTGTCCCTACACAAAATATAGACACACACATTGAAAATCCAGTATATCACTACTTCCTGTATCAACAACCTGTCCCTAGTGGTGACGTACACACTGGGTGTTTCTCAATGTCAAGTAAAGCTGCTCCAGAGCCACTATTTCAAGCATACTACGTCATTGATTGCCGCCGAAGAACTGTTCCAATGTCCAGCATACTTGGAATTCTACCGAGCCCGGCGTACTTCGTAACGAGAAATGTTGAGGCTGCACTTGTGTAGACTCCGCGGTCTTAAAATCCCCACAATGCTTTGCGCACGGACCAATTTCCCCAAATCTTTGGCGGAAAATGTAAGGCGGGGCCCCTCAAAGGACGCACACCTGCACACTTGCCTGTTCCACTCCTCGTTTTCCGAATGCCAGGAAGTATTCTTGCCTCGCTTCTTAAGCAAGTGACTCGGGAGACATGTGCTACCAAGCAAGCGTACTCGAGGTTGAGAAACACCCACTGACCCAGCATGACCGCTTTATTCTGAACTTTAATATTCACAAAAATCAACATGAAAGTGAATACAATAGCCTTAAGACCGGGGCTACTTAATATATGTTTTCTCATCTGGTTCATCAAAATGTCTTCACTACCAAACTTGAACAAATTCATTCTGACTATTTTTACAGTTTTAAAGCCTGTGATCTATCCTCATGCACAAACAACATTTTGTGTGTAAAGAGCAACAAGTGATAGACAACTCTGTTAATTTCTCTGTGACAGAGAGGTTTTAGTGAAAGTTGAAGAGACAGAGACTGACTGACAAATAAACATGAACACTGTTTGTGTTGTTTCAGGAAAAAACCTGCCTCAGATATATTCTCCTATAAATTTCACAGTTAATTTTTTTCAAACAAATCCTTTATTAATTTTAATCCAGTAAAGTCCATTCAATGATTCCATGATCAGATTCACTTCATCCACACAATCAATTTGTTAAACCAGAATCTCAGCTTTGTAAAACCGAATAATAAATGATTGACTTATTGATAATTATCATGATAACTACAGTTTTACAAACATCATAGTGATTAGGCACAGCACCAGTTAGAGTGCAAAGATAATAAATGCAATAATATAGGTATTCTTTTTCCCACACAATACATTTTTCAGACCAGCTATTTAACATCAAATAATCAATTATTTACTTATTGACTATGATCATAATGGTAATTAATATAATTTGAAATTGATATTTTATGATAAAATACATTTAATAAAAATCAGAATATCTAATTTGTTAGACGATAAATTACATTTAAACAAACAACAAAAATGTAGTGAGAATAATATATCTTTGATAAAAGAAGCTCGGGTGCTTTTTCTCTTAAGACCTATGCTTTAAAAGAGAGATAACAAAATATAAATGCATCAATACAAAACAAATATTCAACAAATATTTAGAGCAAAGTTTACATTTTCAAGCAGAGAACATGTCAGTTCAGGTGAACAATAATCCTCCTGAGCAGTGACAGCCTCCATGGCTAAACAGACACAGGAAGGAGCCCGGAAGAAAGTCCAACATCTACAGAACAACTCATGAGAAGATGTTGAAGCACCACCCATAATGTTTGATTGACAGCTGATCTCTGCGCAGTGAAGACATGAACAATCAGCTCTCAGCAACAATGAAGGATACACATTGATTTTAAGAAGTAGAAGAGTTCCTCAAATGAGGCATCATTGGGTAGGCGTGTGGTGCAGTGGGTTGCGCGTTGGTGTTGGGATCAGGGGGGCCACAGGTTCAAACCCCACTGCAGTCAGCATGTCGTTGTGTCCCTGAGACATTTCACCCCAAATTGCTCCTGTGGGGATTGCCCACAGTATTGGGTATGTAAGTTGCTTTGGATAAAAGTGTCCAACAAGTAACGTGTAATGTAATTTCCTCACATGCACAATATCTACAGCATAGTTTTATGTGTTTCCTAATTTACAAAAGGAGCCTGCTCTAAATTTGAGAATAGTCGTCAGTTGTAAAATATTTCTTGTAAATTCAGGCTTCACAGCTCCACACTGATGGTAGCAGTGGTGTAAGAAGTACTCAGATATTTTACTAAAGTAATACAGAAATAAACCTGCCAAGTGTTAAAGGACAAACTGTTCTCAAGGTGTAAATGTTCTCTTGTGCAATATAAACCAGTGTTCTTGTTTATTACATTTCTTTATGCACACTATTTTTCAGAACAGTTGTACTTTTAAAAAGGGTTGGGGACATGTCCCCATCGTAAATGACACCTATGCCGGCGGCCGGCCCATAGGGGCGCTAGGGGCGCCGCCCCACCTCTTCCCACATTACAAAT